TTAAACAAATATTTTATTGTCTTTAAGCAGTGAAGAAGGACAAAAAGAAGCCTTTAGAATATTTATAACTAATCTGTCTTTAAAATAAAGATTAGCATACTTGGTTTTTTAAAAAGCCATTTTATAGCTATTCATTGGAATTTCAAGTTTGAGACATTTTTTAAATATATGAGAAAATGACAGTATAATTTTGATCTATATAAATTTCATTCATCTTGACTATTTTTATGTTGCTGTTATATGTAGGTATAAGTAATATTTTGTCATAATCTATGTAGAGGATACAAAAATGATTTGCTATCTCGTTAAAATGAATATACTACCAAAAATCACATATCTAGTCTGCTAGAGCCAAACAGAGTTAATAGTTTCTCAGCAGTGGATTAGCAAATGAAAAGAAGTGCTCTGAACTCTGTCGAGGAAAATAGGAAGTGTCAAGAAATACTCCCATCCCCTCCCCCCTTTTTTCCTCCAAGCTTTTAGATCTTTGTGTGATGAAGCTCCTTTAGTGATACCCTAGCGACTGTCTCTGAGTTTTTGCTCCAAGCAGCAGAGCAAACTGGAGATTTCTGGTTCCAGCAGCCTGCCTCTCTAGCTCCTGCTTTCCTCCCTGACCTTCCCTTGGGCATCCATCTCCTACTGATTTTTTTCATAAGCAGAGAGGGTAAGTGAGCCTCTACTCTAAAATATTAACCTCACGATCTATCATTACACCATTCTGGTTTCACTTCTTAGGATTTTTAAAAAGATTTTATCTTTGAGAGAGTCCCTTTTAAAATGCAAATACCCCTGGGAGAGGTCAGATCTTAGTTCACATCTAACATCTTAATTATCAATTAGCACCTTAGTTAGGCTTAGTTCACATTTGCTGAAAAGGAGGAGCCCCTGACTAAAAGTAATAAAACTGTAAGAAATTAGCATTTATAACATTATCCTTAGTATTGTTGATGTTATTATTATTGGCAGCTATATTATTATTATTGGCAGATGTAATATTATTTTGTGCCAGGAATTGTTCTAAGTGCTTTGCAAATATAAATTTCTCTAATTCCCTCAATAACCCAGGGTATTAATATCACTGTTATTTTATAGATAAGAAAACTGAGGTATGTGGAGCATAAATAATTTGCCTAGGTCACATAGTAATTACAACCAGGTGTTAAACTCAGGCATTTAGATTCCAGAGTGTGTTCTCTAACCATTTGCTGTGATACCATTCCCCTGCTGTATTGCCTGTCAGAGAGAGGGCATCTGTCAACATTTCACCTCTTTCACAATTTTGCCATTCAATTGTAGGTCACTTCCTGTTGAAGGTCAGAGACCTTGCCATCATCTAAATAGATATTTTTAGTAACAAATGGTATGAAATAGGAAAATTCCTTATAACCAAGGGAATTTATTTGCACAGTATAGAGAAAGGATTAAAGAGGCTAGTGTATAATTTAAACATATGCATGGCATTATCTTTCCTACTTACAACTTATTATATAAGTAACATGTTCATTATTTTTAGATATTTGAAAATATGGATTAATTGAAAGAAAAAATAATTTGCAGTCCCACTAACCAGAGACTATTTTTAAATAAATATATATATGTATGTATATATGTATATATACATACATATATATAAATATATGTATGTATATATATGTATGTATTATATATATGTATATATAAATATGTATATATATTTATTTAAAAATATATTTTATATGAGCCTGGCCAGTGTGACTCAGTGGTTGAGCATCGACCATGAGCCAGGAGGTCACTGTCTCTTCCCCTCCCTTCCACTCTCTCTAAAAATTAATGGAAAGAATATCCTCAGGTGAAAGTTAACAAAAAAATAAATAAAGTAAAATAAAATAAGGCAGTGTAGTGACCTGAAATAAAATCTACTTACAAAAATTTAGAATGAAATGATTTTTCTTTAGTGTAAGTAAAAAGAATTTCCCTCTTCATCTCTTTAAGAAGTTGAATATTGGCCCTAGCCGGTTTGGCTCAGTGGATAGAGCGTCGGCCTGCTGACTCAAGGGTCCCGGGTTCAATTCCTGTCAAGGGCATGTACCTTGGTTGCAAGCACATCCCCAGTAGGGAGTGTGCAGGAGGCAGCTGATCGATGCTTCTCTCTCATCGATGTTTCTAACTCTCTATCCTCTCCCTCCCTCTCTGTAAAAAATCAATAAAATATATTTTTTAAAAAAGTTGAATATTGTCCATTACTTGCCAGAAACAATTGTTTAATTAAATTTTCTGTGTTCTTTATATGATCCTTTTAAAATAAAAATAGAGGAGTGCCCTCGAGTCTTCTCTTAATCTCTATATTGAATCAGTTCTTTCAACCAATGTTTGTTCAGTACTGATCTATCTCTGTTCCCATCCTTGCTTCATCACTGCTGCAGCTTTAATTTCCTTTCAACATCTGGAGTAGCACCTGTCCCTCTAGATCTGCAATTCAGATCCCTCTGCAACCTACTATCTGATCATGGCATTCTCCTCTATAGAATACTCAGTGGCTTTTTTATTGACCATAGGTTCTGGTAGCAGGGTTGGAAATGTTTGGGAATTCTTCAGTTCCCAGGTACGGGTGAGTGGGTCTAAAAGGCAAGTAGGGGATATGTGCCGGTTCCAAGGGGCCATATACTGTTGTCTCTGCTAACTTCACATAATGGGGAGAGGGCTAGAGCAGAGGACTCCTAAAATGTCAGATCTGGGCCCTTGTTGTGTGAGTGTAAAAGCAGAGAGTGCAGCTGCTGTGTGGAGAGTAAACTTTTGGTGGCAACAGGAATCAAAGCTGGGGGACCATTTAGGAGCCTTATTGCAGTAATTCAGATGAAGACTCATTTATGGCTTGGACCTGGGTGGTAGTAGTAGAGGTATTGAGTAGTCTTATTCAAGATAAGTTTTGAAGGTAGAGCCAACCATATTTCATGAACAATTGGTGGGGGAGAGTGAAAGAGGAGTCATTAATGACTCCAAGATTTTTTTTTTAATATATTTTATTGATTTTTTTTACAGAGAGGAAGGGAGAGGGATAGAGAGTTAGAAACATCGATGAGAGAGAAACATCGCTCAGCTGCCTCCTGCACACCTCCCACTGGGGATGTGCCCGCAACCAAGGCACATGCCCTTGACTGGAATTGAACCCGGGACCCTTCAGTCCATAGGCTCATGCTCTATCCACTGAGCCAAACCGGTCAGGGCATGACTCCAAGATTTTTAACCTCAGTACCTGGAAACATATTAGATAATGGAGCATAGTAATCACTGATGTCTTAATTTTGCCATTACCATTTGAGTGTTAGGAGATCTAATAAAATCCTATCTTTGGCCATATTTTTTGACATCAGGAAATTTTGAGGGAAGATAAGTAAATTTAAAACATGTGGTTGAAATATGTGCACATGTGAATGTTGGGATTTGTCAGTCTTAAGTCCATATTCAGGGATACCCTATATCTAAAAGTTAAGAAATGAAGGGAGGGAGAAGGGGATGTCTCTGGTTGCTAGGTAGGAGATTTTGCAAAAAAGAGATGGAAAGAAACCAAAAATCAACTTTACCTTTGCAGTTTTCTAAGGGCCCTCCCTAGGTGGTACCCACAAGTACCTTTTAAATTCATGTTGTTTTGCTGCCCTAAAAATTAAAGCATTGATCATGCTACATACAATGTTCTGAGTGTTTTGTAACCAGGTCCCCACCTGTGACCAGAAATTTGTGTTCAGTTTATATTAAAACAATAAAGAAAATGTTTTGTGATCCCTGCTTTTAACTAGATTTCGGTTCCCTATGTTTAACTACTGTAGCAGAAGTGTTCCTGACTTTATCTGATAAAGGAACAAGTTTCAGTGTCAAAATCACTGAAGAGTTTTGTTTGTTTTGTTTTATTATGTTGACTTGTGTTGTGTTGTTTTTTAGAATAAGCTTTTAATTTCAGATAATGCTTAGTTAAGCCTACCAGAATGTAAAAGTTTATTATATTGCCATCCACTTTGTATTTTTTCTCTTTTTACTTGCTTACAAGTTCTAGCACATTCCTGAGTCTGCTCAAACACAAAGGCATTCTCCCCTTCTGTCTTTCTCTCTCCCTAAGGCAAACTGTCAAAGTTTATCAGATCAGAGTATGTTTTAGAGTCTTGAATTAAAGGTCATTATTGATTTACTAATGGAAAGCCAAGTTTAAAAATGGTAATTAAGTAAAATATGAAATATGATTTATTTACATGAATAGAAGAGAATATTAAGATGCTTTCACTATAGCCACCATTATATAGCTACCATTTATTGAGCATTTACTGTGTGTCAGATAGTTTATCTCAATTCTTCTGCAATTTGAAGTTGGTATGATTTTTCCCTGTTTTACAGATGAAGTTTAGAGAAGTTAAAATATTTACTCAACTCAGACATATAATGAATGGTATGTGGAGAGGTAAAATTCAGACCTAAGTTTTTCTGCTTCAAAAACTTATGCTTTTAACTATGAGTACGTTTTATTAACTCCACGTAGGGTTCTCAGAACATAGATATTAGAGATATATTTTGGTCTTGCCAGCCCCAATCTTAAGCTGCCCGCACACTATTAGGTAGATAGTGGCAGAAAATTTAAAAAGACTTTAAAGCAGTGGTTCTCAACCTTCCTAATGCCGCGACCCTTTAATACAGTTCCTCATGTTGTGGTGACCCCCAACCATAAAATTATTTTCGTTGCTACTTCATAACTGTAATTTTGCTACTGTTATGAATCATAATGTAAATATCTGATATGCAGGATGTATTTTAATTGTTCGCGACCCACAGGTTGAGAACCGCTGCGGGAAATAAGGTGGAGAGAAGTCTGCATGCAGCAAGGGAAATGTGAGAACTGCCTATGGTATTATGACAGGCCTAGAAATTGGAGCAGAAGCAGCAAATTTATAAAATTATTCTTAGAAAAATACCTCATAAAAACAGAAAGATATTGGCTTCTTATTTTATTAAAATTGACAATGTTCTGCTTAGTTTTCAGATGCTTCAAGAATGAACAGAGACTGATTTGGATTATGTATTTCTCAGCTAGACTAAATAAATGTTAACTATGGATAAATGCAAACACATTGGACAGTTGCAGCTTGCTCAAGACCATTCCATTCTCAACCCTCAGAAATGGCATTGTGTGAACTGCAATACAAGTGAGTCGATTTGGGCTTGCCTGAGCTGTTCCCATGTTGCCTGTGGGAGATATATTGAAGAACATGCTGTCAAGCACTTTCAAGAAAGCAGTCATCCTGTTGCAATAGAGGTGAATGATATGTATGTTTTTTGTTACCTTTGTGATGATTATGTTCTTAATGATAATGCAGCTGGAGACCTGAAGTTACTACGAAGTACATTAAGTGCAATTAAAAGTCAAAATTATCACTGCACCACTCGCAGGGGAAGGGTTTTACAATCTATCGGTATAAGTGGTGATTCTTATTTCTTACATGATGGTGCCCAATCTCTGCTTCAAAATGAAGATCAAATGTATACTGCTCTTTGGCACAGGAGAAGGATCCTAATGGGTAAAATTTTTCGAATTTGGTTTGAACAATCACCCGTTGGAAGAAAAAGGCAAGAAGAAAAATATCAGGAAAAAATAGAAAATAGAGAAGTGAAGAAAAGACGGCAAGAATTAGAGCATCGAGTTAAAGCAGAATTGGAAAGCATGCCTCCAAGAAAGAGTCTACGTTTGCAAGGTCTAGCTCTGTCCACCACAATAGAATTAGTTCCTGTTCAAGAACCACTACTAACCTCAGCATCACCAGCAAAAGATCAAGTAGTATCTACCTCAGAGGACGTAAGATACAAAAAAGCCAGTGACCCCTCAATTAAACAAAGGCCAATTGTAATTCCTGGTGTAACAGGATTAAGAAATTTGGGAAATACTTGCTATATGAATTCTGTTCTTCAAGTGTTGAGTCATTTACTTATTTTTCGACAATGTTTTTTAAAACTTGATCTGAACCAATGGCTGTCTGTGACAACTAATGATAAGACAAAATCATCTTATAAGCATCCACCAATCACAGATACAGTATATCAAGTGAATGAATGCCAAGAAAAAGATATGTTCTCTGTTCACTCCAGACATCCAAGTTTATCATCCAGACTAAGTGTTGGAACATCAAAGAGTAGAAAGATGGAACTTATTCAGCCATGGAAGTCAAGTTCACAATACATTTCTCTCTGTCATGAATTGCATACTTTGTTCCAAGTCATGTGGTCTGGAAAGTGGGCCTTCGTCTCACCATTTGCTATGCTACACTCAGTGTGGAGACTAATTCCTGCTTTTCGTGGTTATGCCCAACAGGATGCTCAGGAATTTCTTTGTGAACTCTTGGATAAAATACAACATGAACTAGAGACAACTGGTACCAGGTTACCAGCTCTTATCCCCACTTCTCAAAGGAAACTTATCAAACAGGTTTTAAATGTTGTGAATAATATTTTTCATGGACAACTTCTTAGTCAGGTATGGATTTTTTAAAATATGATTTTCATTGTAGGGACTTCATAAAGTGAAGCCTAAAAGATGCATATTCTCTATCTCATACAGGAGTAGGGAACCTTTTTCTGCCAAGGGCCATTTGGATATTTATAACGTCATTCACAGGCCATACAAAATTATCAACTTAAAAATTAGCCTGCTATATTTTGTCAAACATTTCATTAACTCCTAATGCCTTGGCAGGGCCAGACCAAATGATTTCTCGGGTCTTATACAGCCTGCAGGCTGCATGTTCCCCATCCCTGATCTAGTGTGTTAGAGCTAGTACTGTTTTCAAGTCAAAATAGATTACTTTCACAGATATGTATAAAGTCAGCTCATTTTTTATAGTTTCCTTCATGAATCATTGGAAGTAGTTTCATGTCCATGGTATGAAAGCTTTTTTTGTGGAGAAGGGAAATTAGGAAACAGAGCTTCTTAGGTTAACTATATTATATTTATTCTTTGAGAGGTTGAGAAAGGGCGGGGGGGAGATGGGGGAAGGTTAATCCTACAGGGAACAAATTTGAAGATGCTGATGCTATTCAAGCATCAACTGCATTTCATATTGTGTGGAATGATCTATAAAGTCTATCTTCAATTATTTTCAGTGTTTTCTGGCATTAAATCCTGCTGAATTCTTCGCAGAAGTTGTTATTCTTTCCCTTTTCAGTTACTAGACATCTATCCTATTTAAGTTGTTAGAACTGCCCATATTCTTTGTGGTTCCTATATTTTGGTGAGGATTTTAATGTAGTGATGTCTGCTTTAAATGGAAGTATGACCTCATTATTTGTCGTATTACTATCTTTTGAAATTATCAGTTGGTAGGGCTTCAAGATCTATATACACTAATATACCTCTATATATAAAAATACAGTATTTTACTTGTATCATGTTTAAGGGGTTATAGGGACTTGGGGAGAGAAAATCAACTGGTGAAAGATGAAGAAAGAAAAAGGGCAAAGAACTGCAATTCTAATTATCTAAATACATTAAATTAAATGCATATATATATATATATATATATATATATATATGTATATCTGATTAAATGAGTCCACAGTTTGTTTTTACCTAAATTCAGATTTGACTAATGCCCTTGGAGCTTTTTTTTTTTTTCCCTTGGAGCTTTTTGAATGCCTAGTAGTTCAAGTCCACCAATGCATGGTCAGTTTACTGACAATGTTTTGGAAGGAAAAAAAAAATAATGAATTTCCTGAAAATAATATAAAGCAGATTATTCAGAATTATGATAGTGCATTTTCAGAAGAAAAACTTTTTTTTTTTTAAATTGGCAGTGACTTCTCATGAAAGGAGTAAATGTTTTGACAGGAACATTGTAATCTGAAACATTTTTATTTGCAGGTTACATGTCTTGCATGTGACAACAAATCAAATACCATAGAACCTTTCTGGGATTTGTCACTGGAATTTCCCGAAAGATACCAATGCAATGGAAAAGATATGGCTTCCCAGTCATGCCTGGTTACTGAAATGTTGTCCAAATTCACAGAAACAGAAGCTTTAGAAGGAAAAATCTACATATGTGACCATTGTAACTGTAAGTAGTGACTATATTCTCCTTGCTTTTCTATGAATGAATGAAAGGAAGCTGGAAAAAATTCCTTAAGTAGCAGTTATGGAAATAAGCTTTCTTTGTTAGTTCATCAAAAGAAACTAGGCTGGATATTTCTACTTTATAATTGGCATTTATGAACCTTTGTGTATGTTTGCAATAATGATGATATTAAAAACATTTTTTGATCCTGTGTCAATTGTGGACAGAAAGGATTTATAAAATAAAAAAAATTAAATTTCATATGTGAGGCAGAATAAAGTAGCGAAAGGGAATAGTAAAAGGAAAGCATGTTATTTAGTACTGAAAGAAATGTTTGCTTTAAGTCTTTTTGCTACATATAAAAACATTGATATAGGTAATACATGTGTATATGTGTGGGTGTACACATACCTATGTAATAGAAAATAATATATAGCTGAACTGCTGCTATGGAGATTGGCTCCAGAAAAAGAAAGATTTATTTTGAAAACGTCTACTATCTCTTTTATATAGTCATTGTTCTAATTGCTATGGCTAGAGATTAGGCGCTTTTAAATGCTCACATACCTAATGGAGGAAACAGGTAAACAATTAAGATCTGCTACAGTAAGCTCTCTAATAGAGGTGGGCACAGGGAGATGAAATAGCCATTTCAGTTCAAGGGAAGCATTATCCTCCAGGGGAATAGTGTATAAAAGCATATTAAGTCTATCTTTTATTATTGTTGTTATTATTATTTATTATTACTGATTGTAGAGAGAGGGAGAAGGAGAGAAACATTTATCGATTGCTTCCCGCATGCACCTTAACCCATAAACTGGGTATGTGTCCTGTTGGGGAATTGAACCCACAACCTTTTGGTTTATAGGCAATGCTCCAACCAACTGAGGCACACTGGCCAGGGTTCTGTTGTGTCTTTAAGTGTGGTGTCTTTATCTCCTCTATCAATGTGTACATGGCATGTTAGTGTTTATACTATAAATTTTCAAGAATTTTCCCTAATTGTCAGGTCTGAAAAAAAAATGATTCGAGGGCTCTAGATACTAAACTTCTAAGGTAATATAAAGGAAACATTTGATGTTCTAGCACTGAAGGAATGTCACATCAATTAGTGATTTTATAAAATGACTTATACTAGCATTGTTTTCTGAGTGCTAATATGAACTGTTATAGGGAACCGAAGATTTATATAGGTAGGAAAAAAATCTTGATCAAGTTTGTATGGTGGAGTTTTTTCCTTTTTTTTTCTTGGACATAAATGTGAGTGGTCCTAGAGGTTTTCATCACCAAATCTGCGAGTAGAATGCTATTATGAATGAATGGAAAATATGGTTTTATAATACATTTTAAAATATTATAAGCACTATATCATTCTGTTGTCTTATTTACAATATTAAGTCATTTACTTAATTGTTTACATGTCTATCCACCTTGATCAGCTCATAAGTTTTTTGTTTTTTATTATGTTTCTTAAAGGCAAGACACATCTTTATCTCTAGCACAGTATAGTATCTGTAACACAGATGTTTAAATGATAACGCATGTGTGAATTATTTTAAAACGTTACTCAGATTTTCCTTGTGTCCTTAAATTAAATTTGATTTTCATTTTTTTGATATCACAGCAAAGCGTAGAAGGTTTTCCTCAAAAACAGTTGTACTCACAGAAGCCCAAAAACAGCTTATGATATGCCACCTACCTCAGATTCTCAGACTACATCTCAAACGATTCAGGTTAGTAGTAGTAGTATCGGTTGCCTACCAACTATATACTTCTAACTTATTACTTATTGTGCTTCAGAACTTAATATATGATGAATTAAATTTTAATACTGTATACTTGGCTAGTAGATAACTTAGGTCTATTTATGACTTTCAAGGAAAAAAAAATTCTATCATTGTCTCTAGCCTTGACCAGTGGATGCCATATTCAATATCTAACCTGATTAGCTTCCCTTATAGAATGCATTGCTGATTAGCAGACTCCTCACATTTTGGTTGGCTAAGTAATATTATTGTAAGTTTCTGCTTGTACTGTTTAATATTCAGCATATTTTAGGTGTAAAATTTTTAAATTTGTAACTTAGAGTATTTGGCTTAATTGCTTCATCCTTGGAAAATATTTGAACAAAGATACATCAGTTCAATTCAAAGCAGTTAAAAACAACTCTAGTCTTCAGAAATATGTTTAGTTAGGTGAATAAGTTGGCAAATCTGTTGGTTAATCAAAGCATATGCTTCCATACCTTGCAATAACCATGTTAACCTGAGAGCTGCTGTTCTCTTAAGGAATGAGAAGTTAGTTTATGTGCTATGGTTTGAAAACTATTGAGACCATGGTTTAATTTTTTAACAGTTAAAGTAATATGTGTTTTTTAAAAAAATTTCAGACATTACAGAAGGCAAAATAGAAGCCCCAAATAAAATTACCTTTCTTTTCAGTTCTACTTCTCACTGTTAAGTTGACTCAGTTATTTCAGTCAGAAAACATCATATGAGTGCTTTTTAATTCAAGATGTTCTATATTCTTTGAAGAATATAAAGTAGAATTCTTTTCACAAGAAGATTACAGTAAGGCATGCACAGAAATAATGGTGAAGTGGAAACAGTAAATATCACAAACTATAAACAAACTGATTAAAATGAGACTTGCAGGGGGAAGTTAGTTGATGTTCAAATGTTCCCAAAGCCTCTCTAATGACATAGGGGATTTGTCATTCAAGTCTCAGTTCATGTCATCTCTTTAGAGAGGACTTCCCTGACCATCCTATTTAAAAGCACCACCACTCAAACCATCAGTATCATATCACCCTATTTGGCTTAATGTCAGAAACCACTGTTTACAATTAACAGTTTACTTATTTCTCTTCCCCTACCAGTGGGACAAGCAATACCCCAAAATATTAAGTGAATGAATGGGGTATAGACAGGAGGTGTAACATGAACAAAGGTGTGGAGGAAGGAACAGGGAAGGGTCTACAACAAAAGGTTTAGTGAAAAGTCAGGTGAGACTTGCCATTGTGTATACAATCAAGTAGAATGAGAACAGGAAGATTATTCATACTGCATTTCGGGTTCAGGTAATAAGGGCCAGACAGCACTGAAAAGTGAGAACATACATGAGCTTCTGTAAAGAGAATAGAAAGGATTTAAAATTTTGTTACTTAAACTGATAACTTAATTGGCTACTATAAACTGTTGTAGAACCTCCAGTTCTTCATAACTGCTCTTTAATCTGGCATTTGAAGCTCTCCTTAATACAAACCTGTTTGACTCTTATTTCCTTCCATCTTCTGCCCAAAACGTATTTGATCCTTCATGCCCTGATTTATATCTGATTCAGAGACCATGTTGATACTGCCTTTACCACCACATTTATCTTTCTCCTTTATTAAAAAAGCACTATTGTATTTTCCAGTGTATAAAGTATATAGGGTAAATAAAAGACAAAAAGAGAGAATGGGATTGGGGAGAAGCACACAGGAGCTCTTTGAAGAAGCATAAGAAAAGGAATATTTCTAATAGCTTACAAGTTCCCTGCGTGTGCCTCTCAGTCCTGTTCTCTTTCCCTCTCCTCAGAAGTAAACCATTATGAATTCTGGGTACATTGTTATCTTGTTATTCTTTCTCATTTTACTGTATTTCAGCAGGAAAAAAAACCTGAGTACTCAATTTATCAGTAGGAATGAGTATTTTCTATTTAGATGGCTTACAAGTGTTTATTTAGCATAATTAATATAAGGTTTGGATTTTATGGTAAAGTAAAAGAGAAAATGAGAATGATAGGAATGTCTCATGTTAAGTACATCCCATTATTTTTGTCTGTTCTTCCATCTTTACTAAAAGTTGCATTGGATGCAGGATCTTTTATACAGTTCCTGGGGAAGGAGTGGGATATGACTCTCAGTCCAGCAGAAAATATAATGTGCAAGCCTTACTTTAGTTCCATACCATTTTTAACATTGTACTAAAAAGCATTTTCATGTATTTTTCCTTTAAAAACCTGTCTATAAGCCTTTCTTCCCTCTCTTATCTGCTATTGTTTCTTAACCTCATGTTTAGTAACTTAATATTATCATTTTCATTGAAGTCTGCCTTTTTTCCTCTGTTCCAAACCATCCTAAATGGATTAGAATCTTTTGAAAGAACTACCATATTATTACATTACTCATCCCCCCCCCGCCCCCCCCGCCCCCCCGCCCCATAACACTAGCTCATACTATGTACATTGGTAAAAACACTGCTTGCCATGCTTCAATCCAGTACTGGGAAGTATGACCACATTGACTATCTGAACCTAGTACCTGGTTATTTTCCATTGATTTTGTTAATACTTTTACCCTGGTTTGTTCACAGATGGTCAGGACGTAATAACCGGGAGAAGATTGGTGTTCATGTTGACTTTAAAGAAACCTTAAACATGGAGCCCTATTGCTGCAGGGAGTCCGTGAAATCCCTCAGACCAGAATGTTTTATCTATGACTTATCTGCTGTAGTAATGCACCATGGGAAAGGATTTGGCTCAGGACACTACACTGCCTACTGCTATAATTCTGAAGGAGGTATAGATGGGGAAAAGTGTTTTATCTTGGGTTAGACTTGGCAGCTGGAGTTCAGGCTCTAGCAGTTTCTAAATTGGCCACTAGATCATCTTAAACAAAGCCACTTATCTCTTGTTTTCTCTCAAGAATGTTTCTGCATTATTGCTCATAGAAAATACTGAAGGTCTGCCTCCATGGATCCTTCATAGGTGGCAAAAGTGATTGAATCTAGGTCTCATATTTTATTTCCCCTTTCCCTTCCTACTGTTAAAGGATGAGCCTCTTCTTGACGCCTATTTTCCCTCCCCTCCCCCAACACATACACCTACAAAAACACACACACCAAAAAACCCCCAAAATCAGAAAAGACGTATGGACAAAAAGCCCAGTTAATTCAGGAAGGTAATTTAACACTAAAGTATCAAGAGTCAGTTGTATGCTATTGGCTTTATAGTGTGATAAGCAGCAAAATCATTAACTGGTAAGATTATACCAGGAATTAAAAAGAGTGTCAAGTAATCAGAACTTCAAATTACTTCTAGGATAGAGGTAGATAATTCTGGAGTAACATACTGCCTAAGCTGTATTTCTCACTAAAAGAAATGAATAGGCTGGACAATCATTTTCTCTTAAAAAAGTAGCTTAATTCAACCTAGGTGTCCATTGATAGATGAATGGATAAAGATGTACATAAGTAGAATATCATCCAGCCATAAAAAAGAGAGAAATCTTCCCACTTACAACAACATGGATGGAGATGGTAGTATGCTAATTGAAGTCAGACAAAGAAAGACAAATACTATATGATTTCACTTAAACCTATATGGGATCTAAAAAACAAAAGGACAAAAAAAACTCAGATATAGAGAACAAATCAATGGCTCCCAGATAGGAGAGGGGTTCAAGGAGAATGGGTGAAAAAGATGAGATTATGAAGTACAAATTGCCAGTTATACAAATAGCCACAGGGATGGATGTAAAGTACAGCTTAGGCAACATTCAATAATATTGTAATACCTATGGTGCCAGATAGGTACTAGATTAGGTTATCAGATTGTAAGGTATAAAAACATCGCCATATTGTACACCTGAAACTACTATAATACTGTATGTCAACTATAACTGAAAAGTAAACTTAAAAAAACTTGAACTCACTGAAACGGTTGCTTCTAAATCCATGTTTTAATTTATAATAGAAATTTCTCAAGTTCCTTTATAAACATTAAGGTATATTTCTGTGCTTCACTCTAGGGTTCTGGGTACACTGCAATGATTCCAAGCTAAGCATGTGCACTATGGATGAAGTACGCAAGGCCCAAGCTTATATCTTGTTTTATACCCAGCGAGTTACTGAGAATGGACATTCTAAACTCCTGCCTCCAGAATTCCTGTCTGGTAGCCTACCTCCTAATGAAGAAGCTGATACCTCTAATGAAAAGCTTAGTTGATCCAAAGATAGTGGTGCTTATTGCGATTTGTGTGTATATTTTCTCAAAGGGCTTATTTACAATTTTGAGCTTTGTTTTTATTTTGTACTTGTGAATCAGTGCATACTATGTTTATAATTTTTTTATCTACAAGTCTTTTTACAGAGACAAAGCATAAATATATGTATATTAATGATAGGTAACTAACCTTTTTTCAAGTACTTGGGGAGTTTTAAGCTTTTAGTATTTACCTCAGACTGGTGTTACTACCTCTTTTATATTTTAACTAGAGGCCCGGTGCAGGACATTCATGCACTATGGGGTCGGGGGGGCAAGGGGGTGGGCAGGGGGGTGTCTCTCAGCCTGGCCTGTGCCCTCTCGCAGTCCAGGACCCATCGGGAGATGTCCAACTGCCAGCTTACGACATCCCCCTAGGAGTCCTTAGCGCTCCCGCGGAGGTGGCTGCACTTGCCAGCCATGAGCCCAGCCTCTGGCTGAGCAGCACTTCCCCTGTGGGAGCGCACTGACCAGGGAGCAGCTCCTGCGTTCAGCGCCTGCCCCCTGGTGGTGAGTGCGCATCATAGCGACCAGTCATTCCGCCATTCAGTCTATTTGCATATTAGGGTTTTATTATATAGGATTGGCACATCATGAATTTGTACTGAAGTTCAGGTGGTATCATTTTATACATTTATCTTTGTATAGTATATATATTTTTATTGATTTCAGAGAGGGAGAGGGAAACATCAATGATGAAAGGAAATCATTGCACGTCCCCCAATGGGGATTAAGCCCCCAACCTGGGCATGTGCCCTTGACCAGAATTGAACCTGGGACTCTTCAGTCCACAGGCTGATGCTCTATCCACTGAGGCAAACCAGCTAGGGCTGTACATTTATCTTCTGTAGCTATTTTCCAAACAAATTTATTCTATGCAAAATTATATACACTTTCTTCACTAATAATATTACCCAAAAGTCAATTCTTTCAGGCTATTTGTATGTTGAAGTTACCTTTGCCCCTTGAAGGTAGTTAAATTACTATTTTCAAAGAGAAAAGATACTTATCAATCACATTGATATTCCTGAAGCTTTGTGTATTACAGGGATCAGAAGACATTACTGGTTGTTAAAGGAACTTCATTTTTTTTAAATTTTTTTAAAAAACATATTTTATTGATTTTTTTACAGAGAGGAAGGGAGAGGGATAGAGAGTTAGAAACATCGATGAGAGAGAAGCATCAATCAGCTGCTTCCTGCACACCCCCTACTGGGGATGTGCCCACAACCAAGGTACATGCCCTTGACCACAATCGAACCTGGGACCTTTCAGTCTGCAGGCCGACGCTCTAGCCACTGAGCCAAACTGGTTAGGGCTTAAATTTATTTTTAATAATTGTTCTTCATTTGGCATACTCAACTATACAAATGAAAATGACAGCTTTATAAATAGTATGCTTAAATAACTTCAGTTCTGTGGACATAAAAACAATGATGGTTGGGACTTAAATGATTCATCTGGCAGCAAACTGGTTTGTCCTGATTCTAATAATGAAGTAATATAAAAAACTTGAATTTACCAAAACTGTATTGTTATACAAGTACAATTTTATTTGGTTATGAATTCATTTTATGTCTAAATATTAAATCTTTTAAGACTTTGTACTGCATATCTTGAGATTCTTCCTGGAATAAAATATATGTCTTGAAGAGAAAAAAATTACAGGGCAGAGAAGGTAAATCTTCAAAACTGGCAGGTGGGTAATATGTATCTCATTTTTCTAAGGTCTGGACTGCTCACTCTTGCTAGGATTATGTGAATACTAGGAGCTTCTCAGATATTCAAACATGGGGTCCTGACATTTAAAATTATATAATCTTGCATTTTATTAAAAACACATAGTATGACTCTTTGTTCTTCCCTAATAATCTTACCAGATCTCTTTAAAATCCTACTGCTGCTAACTTTATTTCAGAAAGAGGAGAATCCACTAATATATGTTGATCAGCTCTGTAAGAGTTCAGTGTTAACCACTAGATCTTTTTTTTTTAAGCGGGTCTGCTTGCAGGTTGAATTCTTAGTGGAAAATAATATGTTAAATGCTGTTCTCCACTAGTGATCATCTAAGTATAAGCTTGTGAAGGACAACCTCTATTGGCAAATTTTCCTTAAATTTCAGAGAACAAGTCATCTGGGGTAGCTTTGTGAAGTGCAATGAGACTTTATCACTGAACAGACAAATCATTTATGCCAAAAATACAACTCGAGTGTTAAATGGCTAAGGATTAAAATCATTTATTCAATACCTATGCAAATTATTACCTCAACTGTTAATGTAATTATACCTCATTAAAGACTTATGTGGTGAAGATACTGAGTATAGTCTTTATTTCAAGGATTACTTTATACAGTGGGGCCTTGACTTACGAGTTTAATTTGTTCCGAGACCGAGCTCATTAAGGAGCTCGTTAACTCAAATTACTCTGTCAACTCAATGCAAAAAAATCGGCCGAGAGACAGCTGGTATCTCAAAAAACTTGTTTGTCGGGACACCCGTAAGTCAAGGCCCCACTGTACTTAGATCAACTGCTATACCTTTTAGCACTTAATTTTAGGGGGATATTTTAAAACAACTCTGAAAGCTATGTTGTTTATAATGGTACTAGAGGCCAGGTGCACAAATTCATGCATGGGTAGGGTCCAGCTGGCCCCTTGCTGATTGGTCAGGGCCAGCCTGGGGGCTAGGGGGCATGGGTGGTTGGCTGGCCGGCCCCACCCCGTGGTCGAACTCCTGGTCCAGGGGACAATTTGCATATTAGCCTATTTTATAGGAAAGTTGCTTGTTTTTAGTACTTATTTCAATGTAACGTATAAGAAATAAAGTGGCTTAGCCCTTTCTAATCCCTTAAAATTAAAACCTATGGAGGGGTGCTATGTGTGAGGTCAAGGAAGTATGTGGTAACTTTTGCTCACCTAAATCAGATCTTAAAAAAGTCTATTAAAGTGAAACTAAAACCTAGACAATGCACAGAAACTTAAGATTTCCTACTGAACATCTTAATGTGGGCTTCTACATTATGCTAAATTGATCTAACAAAAACAACGTTTTGGTTGTAAAATAATTTACTAAAGGCACTATTGTTAAACATTCAAACTAATAATTGGTTACCAATAAGGTACATCATTATAAACATGACAGAATGATTTCAAGAGATACATGGCTAGCAGATAAACAATACAGTTTTTTCTTAAGTGAAAGCTTTTCTATATACAAGATCATATCCCTTCCAGCCATTCCAGCAGCATGTAAGTGATGCTACTGCTTCCAACAGTTACCTGGGAAGGGAGCTTGGATCTCATAAATTGTTTGAGATCACTACTGCTAAAGAGATCTCACAAAGCTCCAAAATTCTTGACTCAAAAGATCAATTCTAAAATTCACGGGCTTGGAAATCAGGATACTTTATACCTCCCTCCAAAGCACATCAAAATAGTATGGACTCAAAACTCCAGAAGAGCTAGCTGGAGGGCCCAAGCCCTGTAACATCTCCAAGCACAAACTGGTGAGCTCTGCCACTAGCACATCACAGAAAATGGAGAACTTATTCAAAGATAGCTACTGAACATTAGCACCATAGTAAACATGGCTCATATAGCTAAACTAGATTGTTTATCCCACAAGATAACATTCATTTATAGCTTGAATGCTGAAAGCGGCTTTTTAATGTATAATAAAAGGTCTAAGTACAGAAGTCAGATTTCTCTTCCTATGAGAAAAACATTAAAATACAAAACAGCATCCCAGAGTCAATAAATGTTACTGTGCTAAACATACAAATTAAGGCTTTACCTTAGTACATAACTATTTTGAAAATTTGTTGAAACATTCCCCAAAATAATTTACATAAAATTCAAACAGTTTGTTCAAAAATTGGTAGTGGGGTTCAGTTCAAGTATTATGCATCTTACATTCAACTTATGCACTTAGCTGCTTTAATAAGTCACTATAACCTCACTTCCTGAAATATCACCCATAATGTTATAAATCTAAACCAGTCGAGGTACAGGGTGCTAAAGAATTTGGTTCACTAATGAAAAAGACTAATAATTCAATTTAACTTTTCTAACTAGAACAAGACCTAATCATGGAAAATTTTCCTGTTTTTGTGGTTTTAAATGCATTTTTGGTTTACCAAGCAAGCTAAATACCTTTCCTAATAAATGTAGCACTGGACAAAGGATCTAAATGTTAGTTTACTAAATCAAGGTTTCAAGTTGTACAATATTCCTAAGTCATGTTACAAATAGATCTTTCCAATGCCAGAGAAAAAAATGAAAGATAAGGACTAATATAAGGTCCTAAAGATAAGGTCCTCAAAAAAATGCAAAATATTCCTTAAGCTGTATATTAATTTATGAAGCTTTTCCTACTTTATACATGTGTAGATCTTGTTTAGCCACTATATCAGAAAAAAAAGTTTCAGTGTAAAGGTCTAAATCCAGATAAAAAGCTCTACATTTCCCTACATTAAGTTTAGCTATTTTCTGTGCAAAATTATAACCACAGACATTGAAATGTAGCTCTTAGGTCTGAAAATGTCTTTATTTTTTAGAAAATGGATTCCAGGAAGGTTAAAAAGCAATACCAGAAGGTATGGGTGCAGAACTGGATGTAGTCATTCAAAGCATTCAAATAAGAATATGGCAATATAAATATTTGAAAAGCATCTTTTTGGTGTTCAAAACAAAATGCTTAAGTCATTCCTAACTAATTTGAACTTTATAGCATTTTCTAGACAGGAGAAAAAACAGTTAACATGAAAGTCCTGAAAGCTTTTTCCATGGTTAATTACATTAGATGGTTTGCCTTTGATCAAATTCCTTCCTTTTTAGGAAGCAGAGCTTGAGTCTGGCGCCTTAGACCACTCGGCCATCCTGACACACTCCTTCCTTTTTAAACACGAATAGAAGTATTATATAGGTCCACTGTTAAACAGACAACATGTCGCAAATCAATTCTG